CACACTCAGGATACATTACTATTGCTAGATTCTTCTTATTTGTGAACTATGGCATCCATTCCGGGATCCTAGCATCCCTCATTATTCAGAGGGGAAACTGAAGACAGACAAATCCTTCCAAAGGGTGATTTTGACAGTAAGTTGCCTGAGTCATGATCTGGGACTTCCTCTTCTCCACATTAAAGACAGGGGGAAATTGTGCCAACTCCTTCTAGTGTTTCTGCCTCAAATCATAGAGGATGGATCTTGAACTGTTGTTAAGCATTAGGACTTAACTGACAAACCAAGATTCTCCAGATAATGCCTTTGATAGATCCACATCATGCTCTCTAAAAGAATCATCCATCCCCTGTCAGGTGTTTCCTTTTAGACCTCACACAGTAGTCTCTTCCACTTAGAGTTTTGTTTAAATTCACAACATGGCACCATCCCTTAACAATCCTCATGCTCTTGCAAAAAAAAAAAAAGAAAAACAGAACACCTCAACCCATTCTTTTTCTTTCTATTCTCCTCCAAACACATTTTTGTATGATAGTATTAGTTCAATGCAACAAAAAAACACGTGGGATCAGAAACAATTAATTCAATGTAGAGTATTCACAAATGACTGATGAACAGCTCCAGAGCTGTCAGTCACAATGACTTAGCCAATTTAACTCCCATTTAAATCTGTATAAATCTTACCATTATTTCCCTGTCATTTTATATGCCCCTCCTAAAAAAACTCATGTCAAACAGTTCTAGAAGCCAGTGTCAGCAACACTACTTGTTACCATAAAAATTACCAGTGTGAGCAGGATTCCCAGCAACAGGTCTCTAATATTACTCCTCAAACATTTTAAAATATTACTTAAGTGTACGCAAGGCATTTAAGCAGTAATATTTTGTATACAAATCTTAAGTGGAAATACACTTAGTGATATTGCAGGAGCCTTTCCTGTGCCTCAACTTGGGCCCTCTGCATTTAATACTGTGGTTGTAACCTGTGCCATTCACCTCTAGATGCTACAAAATAGATGGAGAAAACTTTATTAATACAATTTGTTGAAGCTCTTGTTTTCCCTACCCATTCAGATCTATTACCATAGTAAATATGTATTTTGAGTACATAGAGAATACTGAATCGGGTCCTTGATTAGTGTTTGATTTATACCACAAAGACCACAAGATTCAGAGGTTGCCAAGGCAACACCACTTCAACCCCCTTATATTTCTGCTTTGATATGAAGCCTCTCATTACATAAATGTATCACAACACCAGCCAGCATGACAGGCTATTTTACAAATATGTCTTCAGTTAGCAGACATCTATATTCTTCTGTTAGGAGGGGGAAAGGTAGGAACAAGGTTGCCCTTTACTAAGTGGGAAAAAGAAGCGACAAAAATGACATTCTAAGCTATATGGGCTTTATTATGAAAGTGTATCCTCAGCTTTTAAATATTGCCAATAAAGTTTGCATTATTTGTCCAAAAATCCACAAAAGGACAGAAAGCAAAACAAAAAAACCCCAACAAATAAAGTCCAAAACTGTGACTTTGGTACTTGGCAATAAGTACCACCATCCCTCTTTACTGTGCTGTATCCATTACACAGCAGCCTACCTACAGTTCATGTTCAGAGCCCCTTAGTACAGCCAGGTTCCAGAGAAGAGAGCTCTTTTAAAGACAGTTACTTCTGTTTCTCCTTCTTAGTCCTCCAGACTACAAAGAGACTGAGCAAACTGCCAGCTGATCTAGAACATAAGGAATAACTAGATGGAACAGTTAGCAACAGAATGGCAATAGTTCCAGATGCATCCCCCCAAATACTTCCTTGTGCCCCAGCAAAACCTGCACTTCCAGGAGGCTTTTCAGAGATAGTATTATCAATAATCAGCTATTTCTTCATCATCTGTAGACATCCCAGTACGAGTTGAGTTTTAGAACCTTTGAATTTTTAAACAGAACATTGCAAGTAAGAATAAGAATAAATATCAATAGTTATGGATAATATACGAACATTTGAGTGGCATAGGCTTACATCTTTGATTTCTCTCTTCATTTCTACTTCAGGCTTATAATTTCCAATCACTGTGCATAAGTAACACATCGATCAGCAGTAAACAAAGCAAATCTTGCAGTTTCATGAACGGGAGAGGAGAAAAAGCACCACTAGGGGGCACATCCAACTCTAGCAAACTGATTCCAAGGCAAGCTCCTTCATACCATGAATCATGTCATTGCAAGTCAGCAGCAGCTCCAAGTTTGCAATGACAAAACAACCACACTTACAAGTATTTCTAGCTGAACTGAACAGTAACTCCCCAGTTACACGGATTTTCATTTCTTTGGTTTCTATAAGAAATCCCTTTTAGGAAAAATGACATTGTATGCCACTTCGCATCACAAGATTTATGTTATCTGCATTATACTGTACTGCAAAACATTCATGGCATGGACTATCCTGGAGTATGCACCTGCATCCAGTGCCCTGATGTACTGTAAAAAAGAACCAGCTTCTCCATACACCTAACTCCAGCTGCAATTTTAAGAGATGCAACTGCTGCAAGACCGTAGTTGTACTCAGAATTCCCTATCTCACTGATTAACAGGGTGATATACCATTTGTTCTGGTCTTCACACTATGTTGTTTCTCATTTTCTAAAGTGAAGTGATGACTCCTGACCAACTAGTGGCTGTATCGTGTCTTTCAGCATATTCTTTTCCATCACCTTTCATTTTAAATGATATTCTGAAAACAGCAGGTTATGCACCCACAGCCCACCCAAGACCCCAACACTTAAGGGACAGAAAAAGAAAAAACTAGGAAAAGAAACTTCAGATAGACAGTTCATGTAGGACAGCTAGAAGACTGACATCAGAATCAAGTATCATGCTGTGATGCAGGCCAGCCTGACATTCCCACAGCAGGCTGTGAAAACTGGAGAAGAGCCAGCACAGTAGAAAACCTTCAGGGTTATTTTGCACAGGACTATGCAAATTCTTCATGAATCTGAGAACTCGAGATCAGGGTTATTGGCTTATCAACACTCACCAGCACTAAAACATACATAGCTAACCTTAAAAGACATCATCTTATTTTAAAAAATACTGCTGAACAAGGGGTTGAATAAAATCAATCACTTGCTCAAGGGATTTTTAAGACATGCATTTCCTTAATTATTGTCAGATATGCAAGTCAACAAAAAGAAAGATTAATTTCTGAGTGAATAGAATAACTGATGTTTAAACATTACATGGAAAGACAGATTGTAAACTAAAGCATCCTAATGCTTGGGTTTGTGAAATAATTGGAAAATGCAGGACGCACTCACAGTCAAGGAACTGCGTGCATCCTCATCCACCTGCTGATGGCATGGGGCAAAACTATCTCCAGACTACATCTTCTCGTCACTTACACCCGGCTAATAAGGATGCATTCCTTCTTGTCCAACCATGTATTCATACTGATTAACGCAATGCAAAGAATGGAGTGTGGTGTTTACACCAGCAATCTTAGGTCACAGAACAAACTGACATCAGCAAAAAAAAAAGGCAAGCCAGCTTTATTTTGTGTGAGACTCAGTGCTGCCTTCTCACCTGCTCACTGATACGTATTATGCCCCATGTTATGTTTTTGGTTTTCTTAGTTCTTTATCAGAGGCACTAAGAATCAAGATGTCACCTGCCAATGAAAAGCATTGTTGAGATCTGCAGTAGCGCTCAGTTCTCGGGAGAAACTTCATACAAGCTCTCTCTCACAAAACACCTGCCAGGAATCTGCATTTCTTGGCTCAGTCTATATCATAACTATTCCTCACACTGGATGGGAGCACCATTGTGCACCATAGCAAAGAACCAGGAATTAAAAAAGCCACTCACACAAAGTGTATGTGCTCAAAGCCATTCATTGTGCTATAGCCATTCCCTCCTCAGTCCTGTCCCTGGCACATATAAATCAAAAGGTGGCAGTTGCAGCATTATTTCTTCTATTCCTTCCTCTCTTTTCAAATCCTTACTCCCGCACAGATACAGAAGCTGTTATACAGTTATGTGTACGTATACGCCTTTCAACCTAACAAGACTGGATGGATAACAGTCTATCCACATTTTGTGAAAACATGGTAAAAGCACACCCTGGCTATGCACGACTTTGTAATGCAATGGTTAAATACACTTTACAAAACACCACGGACATTTAAGGAAGACCTCATACCAGAAAGACCACAGCATGCAGCATATATTGAAAGCAATTCCTAAGAAAGGCTTTTCTTTCAGCAGCTTTCCTACTTTATAGGAAGTATGCATGTTTTTATCTGTTTAAACATATCAGTGCTATAATTTTAATTTCTAGTAAGAAATTCTAGGGAAAAAAATAAATGCTGAACACTTAATGAACTTAATCCCTCACATAATTATTCACTGATACATAATATTAGTGTCTATTGGTTTCTTAATCAGGTCTTAACAACTGATTACCAGCTATTTACTTCAAAATTTCACTGCTGCTTTTTTTCCAGAATGTTCACAAACTTATACCTAAGACTTACTAAAAATACTCTCCAGTGAAGTTTTTACCATTGTATTTCTATTTTCATTTTTGGTTTGTTTAACATCAGAAACTTACTCTTAAGCATTTCCTCACCTACATTTTCTATGTTAATGTGAGACAAGTTCCAAGGACAGTGTTCAGTGTCTGAAATAGGTAATGAATACTCTGTCTAGACAGGAGACGCAGACAAGACTGTTCATCTTCTCTCAGTTCTGCCATCTGTTTACAGCTTTGATAGTAAGCTGAATAATTGTAAATGTCTGCATTTTTATTTTTTTACATTAAAAATATAAATTTGCTTTGTCTAAATAAGGAAAAAATTTAAAAAGCTACTAGTATCTATTTAACAGTTAGATCACTATTCTACAGATGGTTAAATGCCAGGAAAAGCCAGGGGCTATTTCACATTCTTACACAGCACATAAATACATCAGTAAGCTATAGATAACACTGTTCATGTGGCACTCACCCGGTGTAGCTTCTGCCAAAATTCAGGTCCATCCTCCATTTTTCTTAAGCTTGGTGGAATGTACCAAAAACAAACATTTGCGTATTCCGGCTAAATAAGAGAACAAGTGATTGCTTATAGAATATACAATGGGACAGGAAAACATATTACAGTTCATCAACAAGTTCTGCCTCGTTTGAAGATTACACTTTGAGTCCTCCTTCTCCATTCATCTTTTGTTTCCCCTTTTTGAAAAAAGAAATAGTTTGTAACATTATCCAATTCTTTCCCTACTGCCAGAAAATGGAATTCTACTGGGACTCCTTCAATTCTTAAGATATACCTACTTAATTTTGCCTTGCTAGAAATTTTCCCTGGGAAAAAAAAAAAGTGTAAGAGAGGCATAAAAAGCTAACATGTGGATTTCAAAATTCTGTTTCTCTCTTTAAAGTTACTATCTTTTTTCTTTTTTGAAGTGTTCTTTTTAAAATACAAATTTCCTATGATGCATTTTACACAAAACACACAAGCTCATTATTTTTGGCACCTCTTAGCATTTGCACACCCAGTCATTTTTCTACTCAACTATGCCAATTCCCTGTTAGATCATGACATGTAGCACACTATATAGTGATAGAGTTAATGCTGGTCTTCTCAGATCTCAGTTTTTTTTTGGTTTTTTTTTTTTTTTTAAATGAATCTCAGGATGCTTTATTTGGTCCATGCCATACACTGGAAAGATCTTATCCAATATTTAAGCAGGTCTTTCGAGCAAAGACTCCACACCTCTGCTTCCCTCCTGCACAATGTTTCATTTAAACTCAGTGGAGAGTAAACTGCAAGCCTCCTGACAAGAAGAATGGATGTTCATCATACATTATAAAAGAAAGCATTTTGTTTTATGAGGTTTCCATTTTGTCTGTAATTGAAAAAAGGTTCCCAGCAGACCATTCCAGAATCTGACTAAATTTCATACTAATTTGGAACAAATTTTATTCTATTTTTTACCTGTACAGATAGCAACAGCACGAGGAGTAGATATGTGTTCCAATCCTATCCAATGCTACCACAACATTCAGTTAATCTTGACCTATATCATTTGCAGTGCAGTATTTAACTGGGTTCTAAATCACAACTTGGATTATAAACTAACACTCCCTCTCCCTCCCACACACCATCCTTATTAGTATGGTTGAATGGAAAAAAAAAAAGAAGTTAAAAGGAAGCTTGATAGATGGATCACACCACTGCTTCTTCCCACTGAATGCGGCTGCTCTTATAACCAAGGCAGACCCTGAATGAGGAGAGCCCACCAGCTGAGATGTGCTCTTTCATGAAAGGGCACTGGGAACTGCTCATATCATTTTCCGCCTCGCTTCAAAGAATGCATTAAATACAATTTAATCATCAAGGAGAATATAGTTGTCAGCAGGAACAGAGCTGCAAACCTGCCACCTGCTGTCACTGAATGAAAAAAGCTCTGCACTTGAAGTCCCATTTCTTCCCCCAAAGCGCTTGTACTAAGTACACACAAACACAGACCCTGAAGAGGCAGTGATTTCCTCATGAACACAAGTATGAGCTGACTGTTGGAGGGTTTATTCTAAAACTGTTTAAAATCAGATGACAGGATGAAGCAGATGGCATATACTACTGCATTGCCACTGATTATATTGCCTCCTTGATTGTCTGTTTCCTTTCACATATCAGATACTTCATCCCCCTCTGAAAATACTGTTCATCCAAGAAAATCCCAACTACCTCCAGCTATGCTTCACTATTGCTTGTCATCTTGTCACAGTTCTCATCCAAGCAGGTACACAGTTATACCACCGAGGAGTTCAAGATGACACACACACGTGTGGTATTTCCAGGCTGCAGAGCGGTTCTCATTACAGGACTTTCCCTGCGCGCACCAGAGGATCACCTTCCCAAGATTCTTGTCTGAAGTCCAATTTCCTTTCATAAACGGCTCACTTAACTTGCCCTAGCTGACTTTCCTTAAATTCTCACTGCTTGTCCTCTTGTGGTCCTGAAAACTTTAACCCTCGCTCGACCTCCTCCTCATAGCGCTCTCTCCAATCTCATTCTCCATCCAGGTATCCTGTTCCTGAAGGAACTAAACAGCAGTCCCTGCTCTCACCAACACCTTTCATGTCTACAGTAGATCTAGCCTTATTACCAATCCCTACAATAATGGAGAAGGGTGAGTTTTTTTAATGAATGTACCACTTCAGTAAACCAATCAAGTGCTGTTTCCCAGCATGCTTCACTGCATCTACAGTTTCCCAGTACGCACTTTCAAATCAACAGTTTTCAAAACTAAAGGAAAAAGTTTAAGTTCCACAAGAGGTCTTAAATATATTTTATATTTCATATTAATTCTAGCCTAACCTAGAATGCTCATTACATTAGCAAATGTAAACCAAATCTGCATGTTAACATTTGTTGTTTTCTGAGTGTTCTTTCCCAATCCGTGGTACTCACCCAGCAGCCTTTCACACTTCCAACAAGGCAGATGACAGGTCTTTCTAATGCCCTCTCCCCCTTCTCCATCCCAGATATTAACCTCAGTAAATAGATAGCTGGGGACAGGCTCAGAAATGGAAATCTTTAGCCCTGCTCATTCTCCCCTAAGCAAGACAATTATCAGATATTAAGCTGACAGGTCTAGCAATGATAAAAATAAACAACTTTTCGGTAGTTTTTAGGAAGATGGTTGTAGAAACAGAATTAAGGGGGGGGGAAAATGGACTTCAGTGATGAAAACTCCATTTTAGCAAAGAATTCTGATTATTCTTTCAGCACACAACCCTATCTGCAAGTCTGGCAAGCATTACCTTTTTACCAGTCAGACTCTTCACTTTCACAGAAAAGCACTCCTTTTATACACCCTGAGGTAATACAGACCCAGAAGCTATGATAATGGGCAGACTGATGGTAGGAAATACAGAACATGTGTTCAAACACATCTGTGCATCACAGCCTATTGAATTATACGCTTCAACTGTAAAGTGGCATTTGGCTAAGAAGAACGAAGCCAAACAATAGACAAGAAACCACAATAATACTATTTCAAATCCATTTTCACTTACCTCCAAAAGAAGCTGAAATCCTTCTCTTTTCTTAATTTCTTCCACAAGATATCTGTAATCAAAAACACAGGGGTTTAAACATAGAACAATACAATACATACAGGGAAGAAAAAAGGCCTTGAACACTTTTTTTTTTTTTAAACTCCTTTTCTTTCCCAAATCTCCTTGAAGAAACCAGAGTTAAACCTCATTTCTACCTGCTGTGAAAATATAGTAACTACAGCTCCTGGAAACAAATGAAGGCTACAGCAAACCAACGAGGAGAGGCCAAATTCTGTCCGCAGGCACAGATTTTCAGTGGAGCCACATGGCACGAGTTGATCCTATTTACATCAGGCTGTGAATTTTTGATACAAATTTCCATTTATGTTTCCACAAATTCCTCAACCTCTTTTCCACAAGTGCCGATGCTGTCCTGCTGTCTTACTCCCTGCTTACTCTTACATCCCTTACTATGACTATTGTCACCAGGATCCTGTAGTTTCACGCAGAATTTAAGTTTCCATCAGTTTTCCTGCTACTGTCCTTGTTCCATGTTTTATATAACAATGTGCATTGCCATTGAATGAGACACTTCACAATAATCCCTGGGCATCCTTTTCTAACAATGTACTAAAATAGATTTAAAAAAGAAAGAGAATAAGAAAGCATTTAATAGAAAGGTCAATTTAAATTAAACTTCTGGATCCAAGCAGCATCAATTTTATTAAAACGTGACCTCAACTTTGACGTTGGCAGATATCAGTCCAGAACTCTGAAGCAAGGAAGACAGTTTGTCATAGCTAGTGCTTCTCAGAATCACAGGGGTTGGAAGAAACCTCTGGTGAAGGGGCCCTAAAGATCATCAAGTTCCAACTCCTCCACCCTGGGCAGGGTTGCCAACCATGAGATCAGGCTGCCCTGATCAACCCCCTCCTAAAGCAGGTTGGCTTCTCCCATTACTGTCCCATCTCCCCTTCCCCCAAATCTTTTCCAAGGAAAATTCCAAAGAAACTACCTCAAGCTCAGACAGTATTGCTATGTCAATATATTTTTATCTTCTATACAAAGGTGCTTTCTAACAGTAATGAAATGAAGACTATCAAGCTTCAGATTTTGTATAAGCCTGTTTTTCTGTTGCATTCATTCAGTATTTTCCTGCCTGCAGCTGCCATGCTGGTCATCACAGAAATAATTCCTTTATTCACTACCAGAGGGAGAAAAATACTGTCAGAATAACCCCTGTGGTCCTATTTACACCCCTGAAATCTGCCTTCACAGAGACACTGCCAGCACAGCTGTATCTGCAAAGCCTGAGGCGCAGCAGAAACAGGTTGGCTAGGGAGAGAGTAAACAATTCTCTAGATGGTACAACTTCTTCCAAACTGAGCATGGGGACTTGCCACATTGTTTATCATTAACAAGTACTGTGCATATGACTCATTACCTCTTAACACACATTCCCATAAAATGATTGCTGTGACAAAGCACCAGTTCCCAGCAGCACAGCTCTATGACTTTGCATTGAACTGTGCATGGCTGAGATGTTTCTCTTCATCGTAAGAAGCCTGGGATCTGGGTGCTCTCCGCTGTGACCAGACTGCTGTTTACATTCACAGTACTCTTTAGGTTGGAAGCGAGGCATACTGAAAGGCAAGCATGAGGATAGCCCATGGCTCCAGTACTGACCCCTTGTGGACATCACTCATCCCTACCTGGACACTGAGCCACTGACCATTGTTCTTTGGGTACAATTTCGCAACCAGTTCTTGCCCATTGAACACTCCACTCATCAAATCCATATCTTTCTATTTTGGAGAGAGAGATGTTGCGTGACCACAGTCACTGGTCAAAGGCCAGACATATCACACTGCTTCCCCAGTTCCCATCTTCCAACCCATCTCATTGTATGTATATAGAACAGAGGGATGTATAAAAAACAGTTTCCTGCGACAACGGAGACAAAGTAGTTGTTCAGTCTATTCCTTGTCTGTTTTTACCAGCCAGTCTGTATTGCTCACTGAGGGGTGGCATTCCTTTTTGGACTTTCCTTTTCTGGTTGACATACCAGTAGAAGACTTTCCTATCCTTCTTTGCACCCCTACCAAGTTCAGTTCCAATTGGGCCTTGGCCTTATTGACCCCATTCCTACACAGCCTAGCAGCTTTGTCTCAGGAAACCCACCCCTGCTTCCACTGCCCATGCATTTTCTTCTAATGCCAGCAATCAGTTCACTTGCATTGGTGAGCAACACATCCAATGTTGCATCCCCTCAGTAGGGCTGTCTATTACGTGGCTCAACAGTTTACCCTTGATGCATTTCAGTAGCATTCTGGATTGCCTACTGTTCACAGTACTACTTTTCCAGCAGACATCAGGGTGGCTAACATCTCCCAGAAGGATAAGAGATTCCTGTAGCTGGAAGAAGGTGTTTCCATCAACAGGCTCTGCTTGATCAGGCAGCCCGTAGTAGATATCAACCACAAGGTTGCCCCTTTACTGCCTGTGTCTTTCTAACCCATAGGCTTTTGATTTGCTTGTGGTCACTCCTCAGAGATAGCTTTTCCCACTCTATTTCTTTTTTGACGTACAGGGCAATGTCTCCTCCTCCTTTCTCACCTGCCCCTTCTGAACAGCTTGTAGCCATTGATAGCTACAGTCCAGTCATGGGAAACATCCTAATAAGTTTCAATGACAGCAACTATATCATGGCTTTCTAGTAGCATGGTGGCTTCCAAATCCAGGCTACATGCATTTGTGTAGAGGCACTTCAGCTGAGTAACCAGCCTTGTCAATTTCCTGGTAGATAACTCCTTTGAATTATTTCCCTTGAGTCTAGTCTTGTCTTCTTCTACTGCCTCAGTTATACCTGGCTCAATGTTGTAAGACTTCAGTTGTGCTGCAGTGTTGACAGCACATCTCAGGGCAGCAGGCTGAGAGCCTCCACTAGCACCCTGTCCCTCTAACCTAGTTATGTCATCCTATATCTTATCGTAGGCAGGCTTGCTATTACTTCCCTCCCCCTTTAAACCTAGTTTAAAGCTCTGCCAATGAGCCCTGCTGGTCTGAGACTGTACAGAGCCTGTAATTCATTTGATGGCAGTGGAGCAATTTACTCTACATCTTTCCATGGCTGACAGTGGAATTTTATTATCACATCACGTTTGCAGAAAGTCAGAAGGGCTTGAATCTCAGTGAGGACTGGCATGCACAGAGAAGTGCTATTTGCTATGATTAAACCTTACAGAAAGTGAAGGGTGGGAATCTTCAGCAAAAATAGGCATACGTCTGTTAGAAGTAGGTGTCATTAAAAGAAAAAGGCAGAAAAACTGCAATATGCTGAAACAAAGTGCAGAGTTGGGTAGAGTTATATCTAATATATTAAGGTTATCTATTATACTGAAAACACGATTCACCTCTAAACCAAGAAGAAATTAATGGAATAGCCAATAAGGAAAGTCTGATGCAACAGAAATACATGACTGCAATTATCTTAAAACCTTTGCAGTTCTAGCTATCCACAGAAAACAAATCTTGCTCTCAAGCTGTGCACCCAATGTATCAATTCCAGAATTAACCCAGGTCTGTGTTCAAAAATACTGAAATACTATCTTAGGAATAGCAAAGCAAAATCTACTGTAACAAATCAGGATAAAGACTGCACAGCTGTTAGGTAGTTAAGAAACCTGGCATTGTGCCCAGTAAACCTCATGTCTCAGCTGCAAAGTGCCCATGTACATGCAAACTCAAGATAGCAATGCAGTTACTTCAAAGAATACCCTTCATCAGATAATGACTAAAAATTAATTTTCCTCTTAAAGCAACAGAAAAATGAGAAACAAAACAAATCCCAGTCACTCCTTGGAAGTGAAGTCAGCAGCATAGAAGCTGAATCCTAACATTTAAAGAAAATATTGATCCGAGAGAAGTCATTAATCACTCTACACTCAGTCAGATGACTTTGGCCAGTGACCTTCATAAGGCTGAATTCTCCTACTGATAATGGAATGAATTACAGACTCTGTACAGATGTAGATCAGTACAATGCTTCAGAACAAATACAAGGTGCAATCTAATCAGAAGATTTTACGAACATATAATCAGTAAAATAATTAGTGGCTTTGAAGAAATCAGAGAGAATAAGGCCAGAGCTCAACTGGGCTTTTCTGGTTTTGATTCTCTCTTTACTCCTTCCTAATCCACTCTGGGTTTAAGTCATGAATGTTTCAACTTCTCCTTTAAGTGACTTTGTTAAAGTGGCACTATTCCTCTAATTTTCAGTAAACATTAAGTTCTATTAAACTTGGTGGCTTACATTAAAAATAAAATGGCAACATGATATGGATGACTGGCTTTAAATACTAATGATTTGCATTACAGTAGCGCATAGGTAGCCCAGGAGTGGGTGAAGATTTCAGTACAGTTTATTCTGTGCACATTCTGAATAATCACAGTACTTCAAGTGAATTGTTTTTAATGGGCCGTTATGTTATTTCAATATTATCTCTTCCATTAGAAGACAAAACAACTAGTGTACAGGAGTTTATTCCAAGACATCACCATTTTAGAAACACCTTCCAGCAAGAATCTCATGATCTCACATGTGAAATCCAGTGCTGTAAGACCAAAAAAGTAAAATTGGGAAGAAACATAATAAACACTAATTAACCACCACAAAAGAAAGACATTTCTGCTCCTAACTGAACATACTATAAGCATTAAGAATTTCAGTAAATCTATGAACAAGAGTAAGCATGCTTTACCTCAAAAAAAAAAAAAACTGTCTCTGCCTTCATATATCTCTACTACTTTCTAACATTAGCAGCACCCTTGTATGAATTTCCCCACAAACAACACTGGTATCCTGTGTTTTCTCAGTCATGAGGAATTAAGTGGACAGAAGAATGGCAAATTTACTTCTTGCTAGACACAGCTCCAAACCTGGCACACAGTGTTCCTTTACATTAATACCAGAACTACAGTTATGAGTTAGAAGAAGGAGGAATACTGGTAAGCATTGTCCTATACCTAGATCATATATCATAAACGTTAAACACCACAGATTAATAGATGAATTCACTTTTTTAACCAACATCCATCCCTACTGTTAGAAGGAATAATTACTATTAAATATTTTAGCAAATTTAATCACAGTAATTATTGCTATTGCTACTAGTTTGTTCTTTGTGTTATATAGAAACAAAAGTGGAAAAAAAAAGTAACAGTTTGGTCTAAGTTACAAAGTGTCAGTACTGTCAGCATTTCAAACAGTCAACATAACAGACTATTCAGAAATGTTAGGAGGTACCTAGCCAAAGCCAGTGCTCTGTTCACTCTCTCCTCAAGGCCTGTGGTTCCCAACGCTTTCCACATGAGCCAGAATTTGAATGCATCTGGACGTCTGCTGCACTGAATGGACTTGTCACCAGTGTCATAGCTGACATCATAGAACTTGTCCTGCTGGAACAGGTACGCAGCCTTGGCAGAGTAACACTTCTTCAGAAGGCCCTATTGGAAACACAACAAAGGTTTAGATAAGAAAGTATTAAAACTTGTTATTCTCACAAGCCAAGTCCTCTTTCCCTGTCTGAACCAACTGTTCTGTAAAAAAAAAAAAAAAGAAGTGCACGTGCAGGACACCATTCACTACTGGTTATGTTTTAGAACACTGGATTAGCCTGAACCCCCACTAAAGTCAGTGCTGACCACAAGAAAACATTGCAGGTTGAAGAGCAACTCTGCCTCAAATCTCAAGAAATAGCTGGTGTGGGTACCATGGAAACAGCTGCCCAAAGAAGAAGATAGAGAAAGAAATGCCTGTGTCCACTGCTATAGCCTATAGGTCAAAAGAACAGACTGAGGAGTTTCTTACACTTTCACAAAAGGCACATTATATTTCTTCTTTCCTAAAAGGCCAAAGAACTTTACACATGGCACAGTTAGTTGTGTGAAGAATGTTTTAGCCCCAAACCAAAAGGTTTAGCTTTTAGCAGTAGATGGCTTCTGTGTATCTAGCATTTGTTATCTGACTGATTCAGTGGAAATATCAGTGACAGATGAGTGTAACGCCAATTTCTGCTCCATTCACAGATCAGACAATTTGAAAATAGCAATTACTTTAGTGTACCTTAATTAAGGATTACCAATGAAATGATTCTTAGTCAGCAGTCTCCAGCCTCCAACTTCTAAGCAGCTGTCTAGGCAGAGATGACCAGCAGAAAAAAGACAAAAATGAGTAGTGTGGCATGTTCCGGCAAAGAACAAAGCCAAGAAAACAAAGAGGCTGTTATAGGTTTAAAGATGAGGGGGAGGAAAAGAGGCAAAGGAGTGGCCATTGACCGAATGTAGAAAAGTAGAGAGAAGAGCTAGCAGAAGGGAAGTTAGAAGATCAGAGGTGACAATGGCCCTATAAGAAGCCCAGGAGACAGGCGGGGTCATAGATTTGTCAGGGATATTACATGTGGGTGAATTAAAAAAAACCTCTAAAATACTACTAGAATAGAAATTCAGGTGAGGTTAAAAACATGGCTACAGCATCTGACTGAAATCAGATGTCTACGTAAGAGAACCAGAAGTCCTACATACAACAGAGAACAATAAACAAGGGTATAACATGGCAAAAGATGCTACACTATTTAACAAACATGATAATTCATTTTTTTAATTGAGCATCACCCCTCAGTTTGAACCAACTTCAGCCATTTCTCTGCGTTGGCTGCAAGCCTGAATTTCAAATGGTGGTAGCTGACATCACTTTTAAAGAAAGAGGTAGTTTTTAATTTATTTGCAATACACTGCTGGTAACTTTAGAAGTAGTAAAAAAAAAAAAAAAAATGAAAAGATTCAAGACAAGGAACTCCAAAAATACATGAAAATGAGAAATATTCGATTGGCATATACAGAATCATCTCCTCCTGACCCTGCTTTCTCAATTCCCTCTGTCAATACTTTAAAAAAAAACATAAACAAAAGAAACCCTGCACGCCTATTTGAATGGCACAAAGGAAGAAAAACATGAATTCTTCTCCACTGCTTCTGCAGGGATACAACTTTCTGTTACTGTCCTACTCTCCTGGTGTTTCCAAAACTGACAGGACGTGCTGATGTGATGGTCTTTGTCTATCTGTTTATCTTACTAGTAATAAAACACATTCAAGAAATCCTGCTGCTCTCTCCAGAGGCAAGTAGTTACATCCCTGGAATATCACTGAACCAGACAGGAGAAAAAACAAAAATTAATGTCTTGTGGAAGGAAAAGGGAATATGCCAGACCAATGCAAGAAGCAAGATGGAAGAGAAAGGGAAAAGCTGCAGGATAGGGTATGGGACTGAAGGAAGCAAAAAGAAAAAAGAATCCAATACACATTTTCTGTTCAGGAAAGCAGTTACTCTGTGATCACTGATGATGGAAAAGTAAAAAGCTCAAACATGCTGAGCACATTAAATGTTATCTCTGTTTTCCCAGGTAAATGAAGGAAAAGTATAGAAGAACTGAAAGAAAATGTATGCTTTCTAACTCAATGTTGTCATTCCCAAGATGACCTCTATGACTGTCCACACAGTAACTGAGTTGCTACACCAGCTCAGAAGAATCTCAAACATTTCATTAGAACTGATTCATTTGCAAGTTTGAGATTCTTCCTTTCTTCAGCATCTTCTATCTGTTTCTACCCTTTGATCAGAACTAATTATAGTTCTCTGTCTTAAACTGAGGCTGTTAAAAGTTTCAGAAAAAGGAAATGTACTTTCATAAAGGTCCTAGTCTGCAGCAAGTTGCTAAGAGTTTTTGGTTTTGATTAAGTCTATAGATAGCTGTTATAATTAATTGCAAATAAATAAATTGTTATTGATACCAAAACCAATACATCCAAGCTCCGGTTCCTTGCAGTACATAATTCAAAATATCCTTTTCCTCATTGAACACACTTATCTACTGCACATCTTCTGATCTCTTTTCATTTCCACTGCCAGTAATAAGTAAATTTGAATTTTATTAACACAACATGAATAGCTTTTTCTCCCAAGACAAATATCTTCCTATTTTCATTCATCTAAAGCAAGAAGGACAATCTTTTGAATGGCATACTTGAAAATTATCAAAAACAGTGCACTACAAAAAGCCATCCCTGTAATTCACTTCAAGAGGTGAGAACGAGCTCTCAGTGGTACCAACCTCAAATAGAAATAATGGGAAACAGTGCTTCCTGCAGCTGCTCCAGAAAAAAAAATTAAAAAACAGTGAATTAGATATCTTTGTGACACTGCTAATGGTACGGAAGAGATTACACTGTAGGTACATCTAGCAGAACCAATAAATTCTGTGCTGAACTGGGACTTCATTAGTTATATTCTTTTAGATTTTATTTTTAAGCAGTAAGTGAGAATTCTGTTCATTCCCCCAGAATGGATGACTAATTATCTAACCTAGATCTGAAGTCACAGAACTTTGCTATTTGTAATAAATATTAGTTCTCTATATACATGATAATAATCATGTTTATATAGATTACAGCAAGGATTCAAAGACCTGAAGGATTTTATTTGGAGTAACTGTGAGGTTTTAAGGGATTATGCACAACCTCAGGCTGATTCATAGCATCTTAAGAACATTCAAGAACAAAGTACACTCACTAAATTTTTCAGAGTATCAGTTCCTCTAGCTCTGTGTTTAAACAATCATTGCAATTCATACCAGAGCAATACAAGTCTGTTCTGAAAAAGTATATCTTGTCACAAAAGTGATGAAAGTTATTCAGGTTATGGCAGTGACGAAGTGATAGCAGTGCATTTCTTGAGCAATTTAAGCACTGAGAAATTGTCATTGATCTGACCCTTCTCAGAGGACTAACCAATCTCTCTTTCCCCTTGGTGAAAACACTTCTTTCTTCTAATCAAGTCAAACATGTATTTTATTTTTATTTTTTTTTAAATCTGTCTTGATTCATGATCCTTGAGGTCCCTTCCAACCCTGGCAATTCTGTGATTCTGTCTTCTTTGGAAACTACTCCAATTTTGCTTCATGAAGGCTGGAGGATTTCCTTACTCAACATTTCCCTGTAGATTGTTTTAAAAAGTCTGTGTAGGAATGTAAATACAGCATTTCATTCTAATAATCTAGCTGCAATGTCTTCAGATTATCAGCACTGCTAAAGTACATAGCTTCACTGATGCTACAGGGCAAAAAAGAAAAAACATGATAGTGATAATAATAATATACAACCAAATCAGTCACTATTGCGGTTGCTAGTAGAAAAACAGGATGTTACTACTCTATCAGATTATTCTTTTTCAAGATCATGAAGATCATCTGTTGAAACAAAGTAAAATACAAAGCCTGGTCTTTACATTCAAAAAGAAAAAGACCGGAAAGGCTTTATTTGTCCACTTAAAATCACCCAACTCCAATGCTAATATCTTCAGTTTCCAAATGGACCTTTAATCAAATGGGCAGTCAAGCCAAAACTTCCTTAATGAAGCCTTCAAAGGGAGCTAAGGCTTGATACAAAAGCACCACTTAATGTCAGTGCTTAACATTTTGCTGGTCTGACTACCTGAAGAATTCATTATTTCAGAAACTAACCTCTTGAGGCTACTTGAACATTTACTAACAGAGCAATTTGTGCTAAACTCTTCCAGCTCCCACCTCAGCATCCTACTCATAGAGCAAGGGGATTATGTTCATATTTATATGTTGACTTCATCTATGACAATAGACATAGAAGTAATTTAGGAACAGTAGAAAAGGATTCAAAATAAGAACTGGAAACACATATCCTTCCCTATTCGTACCAGTGTGCGAACACTGTGCACTTTTCTTGGTTAAAAAAAAAAAGAGACTGGATCCAACTCCCTGCTCTGGATCTGGTATAGAGAGGATCAAAGTGAAGCAAGGCCCTTTTGGTAAAGTGCCTTAAATATGCATTTCATTTTTCTTAGTGACTGATAGGTACCCCAAATTAGCACACACTCATGTTTGAATACAAGGTTTTCACTGCTTCATATACAGAATGCTTAAATGCCACTTTTCAAGGAGTTAAACACAGAGTAAGACCCTTTCTTCCACTTTCCAGATCATGTTACATTGTACTATAGAATCTGATTATATGATCAGTAACACTTTTGGTATTTCACCTCTCAACTGCCTAGGATTGATCTCTACAAGTACTTCTTACACAACACTGCATAGCTGTGATTTAGAAGTTGAATAGAAGTGCTCTAACAGGTATTACACTCTGTGGAAGAATACAAAGGCTATCAAAGTCCTGGAGTTGGAACAGTGTTTGTAAAGAGACTCTAAATGCCAAGGTTAATAAAATATTTCATTCCTCTCCATTTCTTTCCTCTCTCTTCCAGTATGCAGCCTAAGTTGTGTAATTATTACCTGAAGCTACATCTATCTATGTATTGGGCCTAATTAGTTAAAAATACAGTGCTGAGTTCTTCCAAAGCCTACAACTTAGAGACTACATTAACCTTAGTCAATAACTCTATTATGCTGCTTTTTCAGTCTGGAATAAAGATAAAGTGATGGACACGTAGTCCTGGAACTTGTTATCCCCTTTAATTCCACAGACCCCAGCCTAAGGAAATGAGGAGACACACGTCTTGTTCTCCTATCATGTCTTGTCTACAACTTGGAAATAACTGCTCCAAGAGAGCACTGATTAGTATCTATGCCCTTTAGACCTCATCTGTTCTAACTACCAAGAGTTAGCAATCAGTTACATGGACAGATAACTCACAGCTGAATAGAAACTAGCAGCTGTTTTGACAGAGACTTTTAAAACTAATTTACAGACCATGACCACAAAACAATGATGCAAACCTCAGGGACTTTATCCTCATAATGTTCAGTCATTGACAAAGCCAAGCACAAGCTAAAAATGTATGTAAGCTTTTTCAGGGCTGAATTTGTAGTGGTACTTTAAATAACCACTTACTGTTTTCTTTATTGAGATAGAAGAATTCCATAAAGATGCATATGTTGCAGACTCAAGTCATTTTTGCAACACTTGACATCAGAGTTTTGTTTGCTTGCTAGATCTTTTAACTACTCATAGTTTTTGGAAAGCCTAAATTCCCTTAGTGCTGAAGAGAAAAACTAGTAGATTTAAGAAAAGAAGGCTCAGCATCTTTGACTGCATGTACTCTTACAACTATCCTTCTACTTTCTCACTCTGGTAAACCCACGTAAGATGCAAAGAGTAGTTCTGTATAGATGGCACTCTTTAAACAATGACAGTACTACTGCAGTCCCAATGGCTATGGCTATTCTAAAGACTTTGTCAAGCTTGGTTTAAACACTGCAGACCCAGCCAACAAAATACTCAATTCTGAATGCAAATCATACACAGAAGCTAACTAGGAAAGGCACCAGCTGCAAAGTTTGACCAGTGATGTGTATAGTGACTTGCATCTATTTGGCCCTACTTTCTTAATTTTTATTAATTTCTTAGTGAAATTGGAAATAGTATCAGTTAACATCATTCAGCCTTTGCACTGCAGTGTAGTAAAGTTGACAAACTATTGTTTTCTTTTTATCTCCACTTCTACATTACAGCAATGACATTCTACTACATTTAAAAAGGAGAAAAAAGACGGAGGGACTTACAGAGTTGTCTTTCACCAGAAGAGCACAGCACTGAATTCCTGCCAACAGCATTTTGTGGGGATTCCAGGCAACAGAATCTGCCCTATAAATATACGAAAGGAGAAAGGGGAGAAGGCACAGAAATTGCACCTATAATCATTGGTACTAGAGTCAAAAATGCCTAAATGCATTCTAAGCAGATAAATCAGATTTTCCTTCTTCCCCCCCCATAAATAATAATAGTACATATTTTGGAAAACACAGCTTTCGTGGAGGCCATTAGGCCACATTCATCCATCTCAGTCCCTGATAAGAGTGACCATGACCTAAAACTGCCTTACCTTTGGATACCACGAAGAAGTCTGCGATGCTTTCTCGATATCAATGCTGAGCCTCCCCAAGAAGCCTGTTGGAAAAATTACAGAGCCAAGGCAATGTTATTTTTATGAAGTACTTAGTGCTCTCCAATAGCGCTTCATTTAGTTATTAGTTGCCATGTTTTATCACATTTTAAATTTAGTTTACTACATGGTCAATGTGCTAAACTTTGCCTTCAGCCTCACCAACTGAGAAGATAGATAACTGCTTGGAGTTATGCCTAAATTAGAGGAGCTGATGTTTTTTTTCTAGAACGTGAAGCACAAGCTACATTGCCCTTTCTGTACAATCAAGGGCTTCTGCATAACCATGTCCATTCCAGAATCAGAGACGTTTCCAACCCTCCGGCCTAAGCAATGAGAGAAGAAAGCCCCCATTTTGTACATCTTCATCCTCCTAGTATCTCATTTGTGAGAAATTCCTACAAATGAGAGAACAACCACCAAATGCCAACTGCAAAGCCTGGGTAAGATACTCCATGGAGTTTTTATATGAAAAGTGAAATCTGCAAGAGCAGCATTTCTGTGACCAGCAATCCAACTGCTGTTAAAATAGCGTAGCACTCACCACATCTATCTCAGGTCATTTAAGAACTAGGAGTGTAGTCTAAGCATCAGTGAAGCATTCTCTGTAGTGAGTAGCTCTCCACTGAAACTCTTTTATCCTCTTATCTAATCCAGATGCCTATCTTTGAGCAACACCTTCTGCAGATGTCTCTCTCCATGCACTCCAGAAGGAGCCTAAACAACAAGTGTATATTACACTTAACTTCTAGACACAAGTAAAGGAAGGTGACTCATTTATGAATTCAGAAAAGATCACATAACACCCACCAGCTGCAGTTTATCTCCAGTTCTCAAACAACATTTATCTAGGGGGCCACATACTGTATTTGAGAAATTATACTAAATTTGAAAAAAAATTATCAGCATTTATGAAGAAAGAATCTACATATAGTTTTCTGTGAAGTAAGCAACACTCCTCAGAGATGCACCAGTCCACAAAACATCCAGATTCAGCTTATTGTAAAAAAATAAAGTTCATATATTTTGGATTAATGAAGAAAAAAAATCACCACTGTGAAGATTCTTGATTTAAGTATGCTGAACTCATGCTTGCTTGGCTTTGGGTATTTCTGGGGTGCATGTGTTTTTTGTATCTTTGCTTGAGTTTTTCTTCACTGCCTGAAAAAACAGCTGTGAGAGCTAGTCTATGAAACATTAGCTTCACATGCTATGCATTAGGAGTAAGATCTGCTGTCTCTGGGAAGCAAGAACAGTAAGGGAAATGAATGGTTAATAACTTGCCCAATTGCATGCAGATCATTAGCTCTCATTAATGCGATACACAAACACCACATCATATTTTATGTTGTCATGCTCACAACGTTCTTGCTGAGAAAAGGGCTGCTGTTTTATCTATAACCAGAATTTAAGAGAGGAAATTGTTTGTCTCAAACTCCACGTTATGCCTGTGGCAGAACCATGACTTAAAATTGCGTTACCCTAGCCAAGATGATCTTCCTATTTACTGACAAATTTTACTCATCTTGTTCAAAAAAAAAAAAAAAAAAGCCAGAAAAGCTATGAAATTATTCCCCAATTTTCACAATTCATAAGCAACACACTAACATACAATAATTCCTTTAAAAATTTGCAACCAAAGTATTTGAAAAAAATCGACACTTTCAAGCTATCATATAAAACAGAACTAGAAAAGCTCAAAAGAGCTCATCCCACTGTGTGCTACCTCCAGAGACAGGATCAGCCATCTCACTTCTGCAAAACATTTGTCATTTGTATAGATTAATAAGCAGTGAACACACCCAGCTTGTGATCAGTGGCAAAATGATAGATAAAGTGCAGAGAGACATTAACAACTGCTACCTAAGCAACACTGTCAGCACTTCTATCTGCCCTTATCTTAAAAACTGCTTCTAGAGAACTGGATAAGAAGTACGTACAATTAACAAATGTACAGGTAGAAGAGAGGTATAGTTAGGATGTCATTTTTACAGCTTTATAGTTAGAAAGATTATCATGGTGGAAAAAGACAAAATGCTCACCCATATCCTAGGCTCACAGCAAAAAACTCCAAAAGAAGGGATCTCCAGAAAGAGACCCTTCCCCATGACAGTCAGTCCTTAAATGGGGTCTAGGAGAGGTGCAGCCAGGTTCCACCCCTTCCATCACACAGCTGAATCGCCTTCACCTGTGCTCCATGGCTGACCCAGTGCTTGCCTCAGGTGATCAATCAGTGGTTCAGGCCCTGACTCAACAGTTCCCATACAGGTACAATAGCACTGCAGGGCTGTGCATCTCCATCACCTTCCAATGTGTCCTGGAGCCACAGTACCAGGAGGTGAATTTGTGCTTCATGTTTATTTGCCCAGTTCACAGATGAAGTGCTTAGGGATACAAGGCCAGAAACAAGAAAGCACCTATGAAGACTGAGAATCACCAGCTTTATCTGTTTTTAAAGAGTTCTAGTGATGGAGCTTGCATGACTTTGCAACCTGATTTATGTTTAACTGCCAAAAACCTACAGAATGAAACGTCAGTCCTAAATACTGCTACCTCTGTTATCTTACTTATAGTAACCATGGGAAACACGTGGTCTTCTTTTCCTCCTTGCAGCAGCTCAGCCATGTCCAACCCGCAACCTGAAGGTTGCAAGAGGCCTGGCCCAGCCCGCCCTATGGCCATCACCTACCATGTGCCATCATGGTGGTGGCTCTGCCCCACTGAGCGGCCCAGCCCAGCCCCAAGCACGCACCTATTGCTCACAACAACCACACAGCAGTGTGCAATTGGTCCTGCCTGAAACCAGGACATAGGGAAGGTGCAGTGCAGTGCTGTTATGGCAAATAATTGTGTGCATAGGATTGGTTGAAGAATGACCAGTAGCTCATAACAAGCCCTTCTTGAAATGTAACTTCTGATTTGGACTCTGTGGATATAGCAGGTGAAGCACCAAGCAGAAAGGATTATTTTATGTATTTTTATTCAAAGAAGCTGTCAAGATGTTTATCCCTATCTGCAAAAGCTTAAAGCTGCTAATCTGTGATGCACTGCAAACATCATATCTTTTTCTGGAGATCTGCTATCTAGCCAACATTTCCAAGCTCTATGTGCAGCTGATTATTTGAGCTTAAACCTAGAGCAATAACGTTATTGAACTGTAACCTAGTTTTTCCACTTTCTTCTCCAAGCTGTCAAGATCTCAAATTTCTAATCCTGTCCTCCCACTGCCTCTTGTAGTTTTATGTTATCTTCATTTTTAGCTAGTGGATTCTTTTTCATCTAAGTTATTAATAAATATACTGGATAACATAACCTAGGATATATATTTCCTGAAGTTTACTCAAAATATCCTTCCACTTCAGCAGAGAACCACTGATGGCTGCTCTCTGAGTATGATTTTCCGGCCAGGCTTTCATTCACTACCACAGTTGCAGCTTCATAGCATTTCTCTGTCTTTCTTATGAGAATTTCCCACGAGTTATTGCTAACACACAGTAAAGTTAGCAGCTTCTTCTCCATGCATGAGGCTAGAGAAGAAAGGTAGATTAACCAACCTAGATGGGCACATTTTGTTTCTGGTAAATTCAACTGAGAATAATACAGAGTAGCTCAAAACACATGAAGATCAGCTGCATCCATGCAGTATGAGAAAATTATTCTTTCATATGTAAGAAATCACAGCAAACAATGGAAGTCACTGGGTGTTTGCAATGTGATTAAATCAACTACCTAAGCATGAGAGAATAGGTTAAAACAGCTTTTCTGCTCTGGTTAGCCATGGGAAAAACTGTAAAAGACCAGCAGGGAGGTAATGCCCCTGTGTTTAAAGCTATATATGTACACAATACACAACATACAAAAGTGCGCAAGCTTGAGTGCATATTGATGATGTCAAACAACTAATTAAGAATGATACATTATTGCCATGACCATTGTATGAATGCTGAAATGCGCACAAAACATTTTCTCTGCACCGGCTGTTGATTGACTGCTGAGATAGTTTGGGCTTATTGGCATTATTTTCAAAAAACTTTTTCTTAACTTCCTTTTCAAGTCTGTTTCCATGAAAGAACTTATCTACTATTTTTGGCTTTACTAAAATTTATCTTCCTGAAGCCTGTTGATTTTATGTTGATTTTCTCCTTTTGCCCTTTCTAAGGATCATGAACTTTATCATTTCATACTTAATGAAAAGAGTCTCCCTAAGGCAAACATATCAATTTTTTTGTATCAGAAGATATTCTGAAATGAGATAAAACAGTGTAAATCTGGAAATAATGCCACTGACATTTCATGGCATAAAACTGCATAGACAGTTCTTGAGATCATTTGTGGTAGATAATCCTGATTCTCATCAGTGATGAGAGTCCTAAATTAAAGCTTTCTTTGTTTTTAAATGATTGTTTTAATGGTACTGTATCTTTTTTTCCTCCAAGGTTATGGCAGTAACTCACTGACAAAGAAGCAGTACTTGCTATAAAAATGAGACCTCACAATTGTGTGTAAAGCATTCAACTGGAAGATAGATCTTCCAGAGGAATGCAGATCTTCAAAGATATCTAATATAATGTTCTTGACTATAAAGCTAGAAAGAGGTTGGCTTGCTCAAAAGTAAAGAAAAAAATAAAATCAAACCCTTCATTGTGTTTCTTACACGTTATTTCTGAATGGCAGATGCCTGATCCTTACTTTTTCTATATTATTCCAGTATTCCAAATACTGCTGTGAGTGAAGTAAAGGTCACATTAGAAATTACAGCCTGACCATTTTATCATAGCATGTTTGTATATATAGATATGCCTTACGTCACTTACATACAAAGCTTTCAGTCTCTTCCCTTTATTCCATTTCCATACAGATAGCTACAAACTTTAAACAGAAATAAAGAAACAAGGCACTCAGTTCTTGACAGTTCAAATGAGGGTGAATTAAAAGATGGACAAAATACTGACAGAACTCCCAAGGAAGGCTGAGAATTCGCTGAAAGGTTAATAACATGAATCACATCCTAAGAGAAAAATGAGTCTTCAAAACCATAAACTACCCAGTTTATGGTTGTACATTTGTTATTCTATGGGTAATAAGTTAACATGTGACAGTCACTTTTGAAACAGAAAATTAACTAAGATATTCACTGACATTTTCCCTTTAGCTTAACAAGAGGTAAATTTGAAGGAAAATTTAGTTTTTTACAGAACACCAGCAACTGCCTATGTAATATAGTTCAGAATATTGCCCCAGTATATACACCTAGCTTTAGTTATTCAGCTATAGGCAGTAGATTAGGAAAATGCTCATGGTTCTCCCACGGCCACTGGAGATGCCTCCAGCAGTTTCACCTCCTAGGTGAGTATTCCAACAGAGACTTGGAATACACCCATCTCTTCACTGACTATGAACAGATACACAAGCGACTAGCACCTAACATGAATTCCTCACTTCTGCTGTAAAACCTGCTGGGTAATCCTCACCAGCATAAAACAAGGAGGTGGCTCTGCAGACACTTGAAATATTAGGACTAAATTCTGTATCTTTGCCTCCAAGTCAGTAAGGTAACTCTTTTGACTCACACATATGAAGACTTAATTCAAGTCTGAGACAGTTTTATATGAACTGCATATCATTGTTTATGTGATTTTTCTTTAACTGCTTAACACAAAACACTTGAAAAATTTAAAGCAGATCTAAAAATCTCTTCTTATGTTGCTCCAGATTCTCTCATCTTTCCATGGATTTTGGTATAGACATTCTGAGTTCATGGCATTTTCACTATAAAAAGAATCCAGTTTAAGAAAATATGAAGAGACCTACTTTTAGAAAAATACATTTGCAGCTAGCTCTTTCGGATAATGAATAGTCTCAATCATTATTCCAAAGAGGTTCATGAACTGATTTTATAATGCCAGTAATAAAAAGGGTCAGTGATTATTCCAAAGGGGTTCACAAATCGATTTTAAAATCTAGAACTAAAAATAAAAAGAAATGAGACAAGAAAAATTTCTGAACAGTTTAAGAAAACTTAAGGGGATGTACAGGAAACTGAAATCTGAAACTGTGAAACAGAATAATATCTGGTTGGTTGAAGCCGAAATACCTTTATTTCAGCCTGTATGAATGATACACCACATTTCTAATGTGTCCATTCCCCAAAGGAGTGTGGTTCTTTTAGTACATAATCATCCTTGAAGCATTTTGGGTGGTAGCAAGAAGGAAAAAGAAATTGATCTTAAAATCATCTGAAATTAGCATGACGATGACAAGAAAGTCTTGACTGCATGACACAACCAAATCATTTGCTGGCTTTCAGCATAGGGAACAGACACAAATACGGATATATATTTCTGTTTTCAATAGAAAAAAGAAGTTAATTAAGTCCAACTTACTACAACACAGAAACATCAACAGTCAAAGAAAAATATGAATTATGAAAGAAAAAGCAATGCTGAAGAAAAGCACACAGTGTACAAACTCACGTCAACATGAAGCCAGAGGTCATACTTCTCACAGATATCAGCAATTTTATCCAGAGGATCAAATGCTCCCAGTACTGTTGTGCCTGCGGTAGCACAGACAAGAAATGGTGCTGACCCCTGCAATAGGATTCAAAACAAAAAACTGTCATTCACACCATTCATTTCTCTCAGTATATATGGAGAGCTGAAGTATAACAAGGTCATGAAAAGTAGGACAAAGATGTGACAGTCTACATTTTAGTTTCCCAGCACTGAGAGCCTCATAAAGAAGGTCCTGCATATAAAAATGCTGACTCTTAGGAAAAAAAAAAAAGGCATTTCCATCACAGGGCAGACTGCTCTAGTTCAGACAGCTTCAGACTGTTTTGACAGATGCCAGTTTTATCAAGATGAAAGCACTCTGGATATTTAACATCCCTTTTTATACACTGATTTTCATTTCTCGATCTTCCATATTTTACCATCCAATTTCCTACCATTGTGCCAAACACTTTTAGTACAGCCAGCATCTACCCATGCTGGGAAATGGCTCACCCCTTCAGGGACTCACTTGTGCTCTCCCTACAACGCCTATATTCTTTGCCAAGGGAAGGCAGCACTGGCATATACCACAACTTGACCATTGCTATCTGATCCTAATGCCCCGTGTACAGCCAAGTCCCATCCTCTTGCTACTTACTATCTAGAAAACAGGAAGGGATGTCGATGACAACTGAACCACAGTAGAGAGACCACTGGAAATCTGACAGTTTAAAGATTAGAAGGGATCTGTGGCAACTTATGAAATTGAGGGTATAAATCCTAGCAATGACTGTCCATTCTCATGAGCTGAAAATTCATGCTGAAGAAACTACTCCGCTCATTCCAGTACCTGGCTCACAACATGACAGTGCAGCTATAGAAGAAGCACAGAAGTTGTTACTAAATTGCATAATCTTGGATCCCTGAAGTTCATTTGCAGTGAGTTAAATCTCACAGATGATGTAAGTCTCTGAGCTGATGTAACTCAGAGTAGCTTCACTGCAATCAGACATCACATGGAAATCCAACTCATGGAAATCAAACAAAGTGCAAGTCTTTCACATAGCTTCACTTTAACTGAAATCTGATCTTTGTTTTCCTCTTTTTTTAAGTGTTGCCACTTTTAAACATCTACAACACAGCCAGGCAGGCTTGATTCTCATTTACATTCTGATAGTTTTATAATTCATAGAATAATAGAATGGCTTGGGTTGGAAGGGACCTCAAAGATCATCTAGTTCTAAACCCCCTGCCAATCACAAGATTAGACTGCCCAGGAACCCATCCAACCTGGCCTTGAACACCTCCAGGGATGGGGCATTCACAACTTCTCAGAGCAGCTGTTCCAGTGCCTTACCAGCCTCTGAGTGTAGAATTTATTCCTAACATCTAATCTAAACCTTCCCCTCTTTCGTTTAAATCCATTCCCCCTTGCCCTATCACTATCTACCTGTATAAAATGTCAGTCACCCTCCTGCTTGTAAACTCCTTTCAAGTACCAGAAGATCACAACGAGGTCTCCCCAGAGCCTTCTCTTCTCTAAGCAATCTCAACTCCCTCAACCTTTCATCACAGAAGACATGCTCCAGGCCCCATAATTCTTTAGCAGTGTAGAGGACTCTTAGAATAGCACATAATTATGATGTATTTATACTTTAAAATTTCCTTACAATTTGCTAAAGCAATGAAAAGTAGCCTTGGAATAAATTAAAATTAATCCCACACACTCACAAAGAATTACCAGCCTATAATTCACTTCTTGGTCATTCATTCTTACTACAGCCTATAACAAAAGTCAATCAAACTTACAAAAGAACCTGAAGCTCAAATATGAAGCACTTTCAAGTGAGGCTAAGACTTATTTGCTGCACTTAACAGTTTTTCTTAGTTCCTCAACCACAGCTACACCACAATGACACAGCCTGCCCAGCTGCCAGCAGACAGCCTGACAGAATATGAGGAAAAGTTTAGGACCATTACAAATTCAAAAAACTATAGTTACCATTGCAATTTTCTATGAAGAAGAGAATCACACTTTTATTCTTGCCAATGAAGTTAAATAGATGTTCTTGACTAAATCCTCTGAAAACAGGACTAAGACTCTCCCTATTCACAGCCAGTGAACATTCTGTGCTCTTGTCACTAGTGAATACATCCTCTTGTTTAAGAGTCACTAGAATATTCACTGTAATTCACTGAAGTGTCCTTCTGTAAAAAGTTGTAAAATAGTACTTTATCAAGGACAGATACAGTTACAGAAGTTCAGGTGAAATGAAAATTTTCCAAAATGCCTGTAATTTCCATCAAAAGGCAAGCAAAATAATGTTTCTCAAAGGTAGCATGCCTTTGAGCAGAGCATTTTAATATAGATCAATATTACTATAGAACATAGAACATTGTTTTCAAATTGCACAGAACTGAATTGAGGCTGACTTCTTTGTTTAACAACATAAATGCCAGATGATCTTTTTAAATAACCACCAAATCACACACACACACAAAAAAAAACAACAAGAAAACGTTTTTCCAGAGCACAGAGCTCATTCTCCTGGCTGTCTGCTTTCTCTTGCTCCACACTTCAGTTCTTTTTTCCCCCCAAGATTGCTCAAATGAGCAAAGTACAGACTGTCTTCCATGGATAATGAAAGGAAGAGTTTCTTAGCTAATTAAGGACACCATGGATCACTAGTTATTCTGTCTAGTGTCAAACCCAAAGGAGATATGGTTATTTGGCAGAAGAGGTATCTAAGGAAGGTTTTAATTAATGCAATTGTGGCCACACCAATGCATGATAGGATAGCAATGCTGTGCCATTTCTATCAGCCACAATAACTCCCAAAGTTGGATCTGATGGTAGGCAACCTCCACACGAAGGACAATATACTAGCTTGTTAGTATTCTCAGTTCATGGACTAAGGGCTGAGATCTGCATCCTTCTGCTCTGAAGCAGGAAATGAGGTGGCATAAGCAAACCAAAAGAAGATGCTCTGTGCCTTAAAAGCCATATTCAGTCCTCCAAACTCTCTAAAATAAATTACATTGACTGTAGTAAGCTCTATCTTACAGATTGTGGAGATGTATATTAATGTTGTCCAAACAAAACACCAATACATTTCCAAATGCTGCCCTTTCACTTTCTGCTTGGCAAAGTGTCTGTGGGAAAAGAGGCACAATGGAATCTCTGCACTTTTAGGACAGGACTAAGAAGGACACAAATTAGAATTTGCAGCATGTATGATAGTTTCAGAGACCAAGCCATATCTTACTACTCTTGTTCACTGCAGAGGCTAGCACAATAGCTGCTATCATAATGAAAAACCTTCAATTTTCATTTACCTTTTAAGATACTGCATCCATTTTATTTAATAAAACTTAAGGGCAAAAGAAATTCTACACTTAGACGAAACGTGCTAAATACTTCAGAGTGATGTTGTACTGAGGGTTCTCATTAATTGCGAAAGCCCTGTAGAATTTCACTCCCCAGAACAACCTAACCCCATAACACCTAAGAGCCTTGGCTTGCTCCACAAGTTTGGGGCAAATGGATTGCACCTGTAAGAAAAACACTGATACATTAACTGCTCTATTTTTAAGATTTCACTCACTCATAGTTTTCCTTCCTTTCACTCAGACAACAAGCACACAGTCTGCATACGCTCCTCCTCTCTCTTTCATGCTTTCTCTCTCCCTCTCACCTCTTTCCTGGCCCGTTGGACTTGTTTCTCCAGTTCCTCAGGTATCATCTTACCTCTAAGGGACACAGATTTAAAACTTTTTCAGTTACATTCAAATAAGTTGGTTAGTACAGCACTACTGCATTTCAAAAAGCTCAGAGAACACAGCAATGACTTTTGCTTGCTTACCTTTCATCTGTTTTGACGAAGTAAACATTCTCCGTACCAATACCCAGGAAAGAGGCTGCCTTCTTCATGGAGTAATGACACTGTAAATGAGAGAGGCATAAAAAAAAAAGAATTAAAAAAAAAGAGAGCACACAATTAAGAATTTCTCTGCATAGGAAACACTGGCATTGAAATAAGTTTAATACCAGCTAACAGTCATAATAACAGTATATCCTAACACATAAATCAAATTGACAAAGCTACTGAGTAGAAAGACATATTGTACTTAACAATTTATGACACACTGAGGAGCAGGGAAAACAAACAAAATAGATGTGCACCATGTTTAAAATGTTGGCTTAGAAATAAAAAGCTCTACTACGTATGAATAGTTTAAGCTGATTCTACATTAGAACAAAAATAAGAAAATATCATTAGGAAAGAAAGATTAACTGTTTCAAAATGTTTAAATAAAACTGAAACAAAAGTATAAATAAGTGTAAAAGGCAAATTCACAAGAAGAAAGATCTAAAGGCTATTGAACTCAGCAGCCCAGAGGCAGCTTATAGGTCTGAATATCCAAAAGCACCACCCCTTGGAAACTGGACTCTTAATCAGGGTGTATATAAAAATCTCTCTCTCTACCACTTCATAATTCTGTTTTTTCTATATGCTTTCTCTAAACAACAGCTGTTGGAGTCTGTCAGAGACAGGATACCTACATTAAACCAACTTATGATCTGACTCAGCAATTCTGTTCATAAGATCACAGTTTAAGTCCCAAGACCTACCAAAGTTTTTAGAGTTTGTACAATCAGGACTTCCAAGGCTTTCAAATCCTTGAAAATCTTGGTGGTTAGACCAAGGTTGTCTACATGAATTTGGATCTTGTGAGACATTATTAAAGCAAGCAGACTTTAGATGGCTCTTAGTACATCACCAGACGTGTTTAAATCAGTATGGATTATGGAAAAAGTTCCAGTTTGAACCAGCATATATTTTATTATTTTATCAAAGAATTTTAACTACGTCTTGTCAAAAAGACGTCTATGAACAAATGCAAATGAACACCAATACATACAGTGTGCTTCTCACTTTGAACTGAATAAAGGGCATCTGCGTATGAAGCCTGTAAAGTGACTGTAAAAGATGCCCCTTCACCTGCTTGAAGGATGTCAGAAATGGGCTTTTATTCAATCAATGAATGATAAAATTACTCAGATGAGAAGGACATTTGAGCTCACAGGCCACTCTGTAGACTGTCCACTCTTTTCTTCTGTTAAATATTCAAGACTTTTAGCTTCCTGCATTTCCAACATTCAACTTAATAAATCAGGAGCAGTTTTATATGGGTATTGTTCTTCAGTGTAACAGCTTTTGGTATCACTCCAAAATAAGAGCATGCTCATATCACACAGCTTAACCCATTTTCAAGCGTAGCCTGGGAATTCAAGACACAATAACCTTCTTAATCTGAACTCATTCTAAGATCTCAAACTCTCAACAACCTGCAACACGATAAATGTCTACCCACTCAAATCAATGGAGCAAGTTTTGAGAGCATTCAGCATCTCATAGGACTACACAGTTCTCAGAATCAAGACTACCCAAGTCTGGGATTATTCTTTCTAAAAAAAATAAAATTGGATTTTCTTACACATTATTACTGAAGAGTTAAAACAACCCTTATTCCAGCAACCGTGACAATGTCTAGAATTGTTACTTTTCAGATAGGAGGTGAAACCAGGTGGATAATTAATTCCATTTTCTTCCAGAGAGTTCACACAAATGGAGTTACTGCAGAACATAATTATGAAAAATGTACAACATTTTAATGTGTGGGTATGAATATATTAAGGATATTAAAGCCTGTCACGCTTATTTTGATGAGATGGATCATCTCAAAGGGCTTTTTTTCATTTTGACAAAAAGCTTTTCTCCTCACCATCACACACTTTTTAAAGGCATACAAAAATACTACCTGATACTATCAGTTAGTTCTAAGAATGCTTACTTTTGTAACATGACACATTCACAAAGCCTTTAGGACACATTAATTTCAACTGCTACAAAAATTACAAGATACATAGGTAGATAATTGGTCCTACATGGCATCAATAATGGTAATAATGATCGTAGAGTGGCTATGTGTTGATCAGTGGAAATTTGGAAATGCTTTAAGCTATTTAGCAAATTGTTGAAAATAAAGGTAGTCTCTATCACTGATTTCTGTCCGTTAGGGTCAAATGAAAGGTATGAACCGCTAGAAATAATAATACAGTCTCAGATTTGGAAAGCTGTAGAATTACAAAATCACTGCATTAGTAAAGAAGTATTCACTAAATAACTTACTATTAAAAATTGTATACAAGAATGAGAGAAAGATAAGAGACTTGAGCACTTGAGAGATTATACTAAAGAGCAGAAGGAGAGGGAAGAATAGAGAGAACACTAAAACATAACAGGCTGCCAGGTGTATTATTTCTCGCCTTTACAAGAACTTCTGTTCCTCCTTCTGTCCTACTGAAGACCTGATAAAGATAAGTTTACAGTAGGACAGAAAAGGGACTGTATATTGCAACACTGACTTGAAATGTGCTTTCTTTTTTTCATCAAAGTAACCTTTCAGTTATATTGCTAGAAAACATACAAGAACTTCATTTTTTTCACCATCATTACCATAAACCTAAATCACACCATATTCTTTTAAGAAAACAGAGAACATTTAGCAGCTCTGGTCACAACAACATCAAATAGTTCATTTGTTCATAGTGTCCTTTCAATAAGAAGAAAGGAATACTCAGATAAAACATATTATTGTATCTATATTACATATACAATATCAAGTAATTTTTAATACCAAGAGTTGAGATTACTTTTGCCTTGTCTTTTGTAGTGTTGATTGGACGTGTTAACTCTGTAATCACTAGGAGTGAGAAATGAATGCCATTAAGCACAAGATCAAACCAAACCAGTACATTTAAAATGTGATGCTGTACTGTTTTAACTATAGCTAGACAGTTTTCTTTTTCTAATAAGATTTGCAAAGATAAGTTACTTTCCCCACGTGCTCATTAAAAGAGAAGATAAATTTCTCTTGATTTTGAAGAGTTTCCTAGAAACATGATTGCATAAAGCAATTACATTATACTGTGAGTCAAAGTTGTGTTCTTCCATTTTATTACTTTCATGATCAAGTTGCACTGGGGAGGAATTTAGTTCCATTGCATCTAAACACTGCTCATATCAACACGTACATTTCAACAGTCTATACATACACTCTTCTACCCTCAGTTACCTCAAATTTAGCAAATTCCTACCTTTCAGATCAATGCAATACATTCTTGGGTCAGAATAAAGCTCAAATGGAGAAAAATCATAAGTAGATGGGTCATGGTCTACAACTATAGCTGTATTCAGATTCTACAGAAACATTAATCATGCCTCAGGAAAGTGAGATTTAATAAATTCTTACTACTGAAATGGTCTCAATAGGAATCACTCTGTAATTGTCCAGCAAGAGAGCTATAGAAAAGTACCATCTTCATGGAATATCACCGTAATTTAAAGTAGTTTAGTATTTTACTTGCAGGAACAAGGAGCACTTTTGCTGCTGAAGGCCAAACACAGCATGTGAGGACCTTCAGTAGGACACACATTAAATATAGAACTTCATATTAACCACAAACATACAAAGAATACATAGTCCCCAGGTCACATAAAATTAAGCCACTGACAACTCCATGCATTCCCCTGCTTTCAGCCTGCCAACTGCCAGACAGAAACTGTAGGCTAAACACAGGTTCCAACTTCTCTATTATCATTTTTTTCAGTCATTTGCTTACACAACACAGAACAGGTCTATGCCTTCTGGGTACTCTTCAGAACAAAAACAACAGTAAAATTCTATACAAAAAAGCATCAAAATAAAAACAAATAATAAAAAATGAAGACTGACATGAGCACTTACGTACTTCTTTTCACTGTTGGGCATTTATTAAATACACTCTTAATAACAGGACATATCTGAATTAAACTAGCTCCAAAAGGTAGCAAAACTCGGACTCAGTACAGATGGATCAAAAATACACATCAATATGTACCATACTCCCTCAAAATGAAGAATAAATACTAGATGTCTTTGACAGTCACAATATCTAGTTGTTAAAAGTGGTAATCTCACAGCAAGCAGTCACTAACTACAACATGGTTTTGTGAATCAAGCAAAGTATTACAGATCAAGAACACTGCCTTAAAAGTAATTCAACTTTTTTTTCTTCTGCTTGATTCTGTGTTTCATGGTTTGGGTCTTCTTGCTTGGTGAAGCAAAGATACCAAAGTAAATGAAATTTGTTTTGCCTTTAGAGTGCACTTCTATTTAAATCTTGCACTGAAATAATACATTACTTCATGATGAAAACTTGATGTGCTTCATTTCCAAAGCATTAAAATGAAATGTTTCAACATCATTTTTTCCTCTTCAGCTATTTTAAAGATGAAATGTGATGAATTAAGCATGAATTGGCATTTTGTTTTCATACATACATCTTTCAGAAGGAAAAAAATAAATATATTTGGCCTGAAAAAAATACTACTTTATTTAAGACATTTGGATTAATTAAATGTCATGGACAACTTATACAATGCCTGTCTCTCTCAGATCTCTTCAAAATAAGTCTCCTTTGTCTATTTACCCAGGAAAATGTTAGGAGCATAAGCTTGTGAGCTAAAATTATGTCAAGAACGACATGCATCCTATTACAACAAGGTCCTCACCACCACAGGATATTTTATACAATAGAGTTTGTAATAACACTTCTACACAATGAGAAAATCAAAACTGGAGAAGTGAGAGAAAAGAGCCTCTAAAGAAAAAGAAATTAGCTTCAGAATAAATGTATGGACATATCTCCATTTTCCACAGCCAGTTTGAACAGATATGACTCAAAAACTTTAGAAATAACCACATTTTTTCAATTATTTAAAGAACTGTCTAAAGATCCAGCAGGATTTGCCCAAGTATTTTATGGTTTTATTCTCTACCACAGCAAATCTGAATTCAGGTATACGTAGGCAGCCTGGTCTAGCATTAAATGGGGAGGTTGGTGGCCCTGCATGTGACAGGGGGTTGGAGATTCATGATCCTTGAGGTCCCTTCCAACCCTGGCCATTCTGTGATTCAGTGATAGGTAATAGTGGGAGCTGCAGAGAGCCGTTTCACAGGTCCAGAGGCATTCAGCTCAATATAAACTTCAACATCTTGCAAGAAAAACTTTTGAAACCTACACATGGATTCTGCTAGACTTTAAACTGCAAATCTCCACAACACCCCACATGCTTTGCCTACAGGTTTACCCCACGCACAATCTTTTCTTCTATCAGCTGCTCCTAAGAACAAGAACATCCAAAGTTATTCGAACAACAAGAGAACTTCTGTAGGGAAATTTATCATCAGACTTGTCCAGATAGCTCTGATATTTCGCATCATTCGCTGATGGCAAATACATTGTACCATTACCTCAGTCAGACATGCAAATGTTATAATTTTGCAGCCATTGAAAAATAAAGTTCATTGTTAGATGCTTTAAGAAGCTTTTTTTGTTTTTACCTCTTCCGAAGTGAACAGGACTAGTCTTGGCAAACCAGAGAGCCCTTTTTCTTTTATCTCTGGACAAAATTTGTATCTTGCTAAGTTCATGGCATACATATTAGAAACAGAGCCACCTGAAATAAAAGACATACAAGTATCGTATTAATCACAGCCATAGCACCTTTTCTGTCTCTGAGTGATTAGTCTATTACCAAAACAAAAAAACAAAAAAACTACTAGCCTCTAGATGCATTTACTGTAACTTAATTCCTCCCTCTGAAACCTGCAGATATAAAATGAACTGTATAATGAATGGAAACAAAGCTGGTTTGAATGCTCTTTGGAGGTATTTCCCAAAGAAGTAAGAATTATGGTTAAACAGTCCTCCCTGAAGGAGAACATACTGCAACAACACCTTCTGAAATACACCAAAGCAGCACCAGTTGAACTGTGGCTGCATCTTATGAAGCCTAGGAGATCTCTTGGGCAGTCAGAGTATTGCAAGGAGAAAATAAAAATAAAAATCCATGGTGAGTGCGATCTGCAAGGTGTGATCTATTTACTTAAAAAATAATAAAAAGAAGAAGGAATGTCTTATCTAAAACTACCATTAAAAGGCATAATTCATTTATCTATTGACAGTATTTCAGTAAGTTAGAGTTAAACAACTCCACAGTAAATACAAGGGTTCTACTGAAAGTACACATCATATCTGAAATGAAGAAATCAACGTTACTGATACATTTTTTCACAAGTTTTCCAGAGAGTTTTAGTTTATGTATTTTTTATTTTTCCACGATTCATATGTAGGGTAGAATCCCTAGCCTTGTCTTGGTTTTGAAAGTGGAGTGCTAAATCCATTTCCTCATTTAACATCTTTTCCCACCCCGAACCTAGCCACAAAAGCTTCACATTCAATGTAGTAACTTGGAATTTGAATAATCTGTGGAATAATATGACGTTTCATTATTTCTGTACATGGGGCTGGAATGCTGCTTTACAGAACATGTGAAAAACATGACCTATCAAGAAGCTTAAGAAATCTTTCTATGATTGGCCTATTCATAAGATTTTAAAAAAGCTGTCAAAGTTCAGAGGAATTAAGCTCATGGCAAACCCAGTATAACAGACTCTGGCTCCCACACATGATAGGAAGAATAAATACATCAGTGCCTCTAGGAGCAACTGGTTGGTGTCTAGCAACTAAGTCAGCTCTCTATCTGTCATCAGATGACTCAGTGCAATAAAGCTGTTGGCGCTGTTGTTAGTAAGGTCAGGAAGGACTTCCATTACAAACAATTCATTTTCCTACAATTATATTTCACGTAGAACTTCTTTTGTCAAGCTGCTGTTCAAATTCATAGAATTATTAGAATACAAAAAAGGAGCCTGGACACAATAGTTTCTTCTGTGCATCAATGGATTTCACATGCATTTTCAAATATTCTATAGAAAACAAATGTTCATAGAATTACTGTATCAGATGGTTTATCATGACTTCTTTTGAAAATCTGAATTGTTATTACCTGGATTAAATATGCCATCACCTTCTTCCCAGCCTATGAATTCAATCATTTTCTTGATGACTGCTTCTTCCACTAACAGAAACACAGGGGATACTTCATATGTGTATCTGAACAAAAATAAAAGGAGCGTGTTTGGTATTAAGATTACAGAACTCATGCCACAGCATCATGTCAAAATTAGATAGAGGTTTTTTGTACTTTCTCTAACTTATCAGAAGCTGATTGCCATCAAAAGTAAAACTCTAAACTGAAAAGACTATAGATGTGACCCACAGAGCAATTGCTTAGTTCCTGACAGCATCACAATGACAATTCCACTCTCAAAGTAATACTGCAGAGTTTGATTTTAGCAAAGATCACAATACTTAAACTTCAGCAATAATAATCTATTGCAAGCAGCAATCACATTTTTGTTTAGACTTTACATTTGCAAGTAAATAGTAGACAGGTAATCATTTGCACTCAACTCTGTGCAGAGCACATCAAAGGAAATAAACAACTAAGTTGGATTCATTCATTTTGATATCTTTATTCTCAAAGTAAGGGGAAAAAAAGTTTAGGTTTAAAAGTATTTAAGAAAAAGATCTCTTAAGCCTCAACTCACAGACTAGAAAAATCATCAGCTTAGCCAAGATTCTCATGAGCTATTCAGACAAACTAGACCAAATTCTTTCCCAAATTCCTGCACAATTCCTACCTCCTCTGTAACACTGAAAACAGGGAAAAAAATTACAAGGGGGAGAAGAGGGGATAGTGGTCAGGAAGATGTTACTTAAAAAGCATGCAAGATTCATCATTATGAGTACAAGGAACTGCACTTACACACTTGGGTTCAATGCTTCAGTAATGAAACGAGCCACTAATGAGTAATAATCTATTCCAGCATACAGCTGATTGAAAAATCTTGGATGATCTGAAAACATAGATGAAAAGCAAGCAGTGACAGAATGTTTATGAGAAGAGAATGCATCACAGGTTCCCTCAGCTGAATGCTGATCACTGCTAACCATGATTCACTCCACCATTCCCTCAATATTTTACGGGTTTACTGTCCTTTTTTAAATTAGACAATCCTTTGAAAGTAAAAGTTATAGGCATTTTTAGGACCCAAAATAAGGCTGACGTAAGTAGTGCACAGAACAAATATGGATTATTCACAAGCTTTAAAGATCAAAAAGAAGTGACTGACAACTGAGTATGTACAGTGGCCTTTAACAGTGGTGTTCAGAGATGCAATGGATATTCAGCCAAGTTTTGCTAAGCAGTAAAACATGTAAAATCAGGTAAGCTGTATGGCTCCTTCCCCGTTACACTTGAGGCTTCAATATGTGTTTATACCTAGATTAAGAACTATTTACACAGCAAATTTTTCTTACTTAATATTCTTTCTAAGCATAACAAATGAAAATTTGAAGACAATTTGCAGAAGATAATCAGAATGCCTTCCACTAGCTCAGTAATTATATCTATGTATTATTAATACACTGCCCCTTTAGATTGATATTACTGCCTTTCCATGGTTTTCAAAGATAGGTTCATCCTCAAAATCATTTTATGGCTTTCCTTACTGTAGCAATAAAAACAGTAGGAAGGAATGTGCCTTGGAAATGCACAGGAATTATATTACATAACCTTCTCACTTTCCAAAGTACAGTCCAAGTTATGCCACATCTGAAATTGTGAGCTTCTGAAAACAATTTCTTATTCATCCCTTTTTGTTAAGATTACATTATACTTCACACGCTGCAGAAAGGTTACCCGTAGAGAGCCATTCTTGCAGAGATGTCGTGTACCATCTCTGAAACACTGCAGGCTCTCTTCTCACAGCATCTGGAATGGGAATTACTGCCTGTTGGCAAATTAACATCCTATAAGTCTATTGCTCGATAGAAAGCAATAGTAAACACAGGATAATCATCACAAACAATGCATTCTTATTTGTCCAAGGGCAGTGACGGTGATTCCACTCCTCATCACTCAGCACAAAATTACATAAAAAGATCTTTCTAGTTTGTTTGTCTGTTATATCATAAATGCCTAGGCAACTTTCACAATACCTCAAGAGGACAGAATCTACTGTTAACATCAATGGCATTATGATAATTAGGTTTTGATTAGTTTTCTTTGATTACACCTTCTGGGCAATCACAGACACCTACAGTGACCAGCATGCAGTCAAACAACTGAAACACAATCAAATATTTGTATATTTGTGTAGGCAAGTAGAAAGCAGGCATTCAAACCCCTAGTTTCCTGGAAGATAATAGAGCTTTATAAACATTATCCTATCTTCCAAGGTTAGTACACAGCAAAACAACTTCATTAGAAATTGCATTCTTACTGGTTTTGACGCTGTACTGTATCACATCTTGGCAGAGTTGCAAGAGTTTCTGATGAGATTCTCCAGTGTCTCTCATTTCCAGATCAAGAATCTTCTTCAGTGTTTCAGGGTCCCGCCATTCACAAACCTAATGATGGGTAGATAGGACAAACCAACAGTGAACAGATTAGCTAAAAGGAAGACAGTTAGAAAAGGGACAGGTAAGTACCACATTCAGGACTGCTCTCCAAAACTGCCCATGGAATGCAGCAGGCCATTAAGACAATACGTCTGCTAAGCTGGTCTCACGTGGTCTTGGTTTTATTGCACCTCAGACATTCCTGACCATAAAAATCAGAATATGGAAGGCAGAAAGATGTAAAAGATTGGGAGGAGAAGGTGTGCCAGTTGGAATGCAGGGATGTAAAGAGTCAGCCTTGAGTCTCCCAACTATCTTGCTCATGGTTCATATATCCTAGTTAGGAGAAAGAAGCCTACTGGTCAAATTTTGCCCTTAGCTAAGGCTTTGTAGTCCCAACACTTTCAGATGCTGCTCTGCCCAGGGGTGGGAGCAATCTGTGCATGCCCAAAGGCAATAATGTTTTATTTTCTGGTGCCCTTCCAATACATCCTCTCTAGCATGGTTTCTGTGAAACACAGGGCAATCTCATATTCCCTTCCACAGTAGTACCAGATTCACTGCCCCTCCCTCTCTAGTACAGTGCCTCTGAGGAGTAAACAATTCCCCACAACCACAACAGGAAATGCACTACACCCATCTGTTCAGCTCAGAGAAAGTCACCATTGTGTTCTGAGACAATAAATAAATAAATAAATAAAACATTATTTTCTGACAAATAGGTATGCTAGCCATGTTACTGGAAGTTTTTAAAATTTGAATCGGCACAGAGCTAGAAGCAATTTTGATACTACTTGAAGTGCAATAAAATACAGCTGAAAAAAATATTCATTGTTCATTGTTTCTGCTGCAACTTTTCAACAACGCTCTATGGCTTTACCTTTTCTGTAACATCATCAGCTTTCTGGATTATTTCTTCCATTATGATCTTACAGGCCTCTTCCACAAATTTCTCTCCTGCTTTTGAATCAGTTATTGGACCATTTAGGATGACTCCATCCACCAAGACAGCATTCTTCTTCCTCTGGAGTACATCCTGTTTGCAAGTACTAGCTGGAAGATAAAAAAAAAAACCTCTGCATTAGACAAGGCCTGGTCATCCTAAGCTACAAAATATTCCTTCATTGCTGAAGATTCAGTGAACATAAGGAAATAAAATTCACATTGTCTTTTCAGGTGTACAAAAATCCTAGATTTTGTTGGAAACCTCTTTACAGACAAATACAATCACTTTGTGTTACTTTAGACCCAGACTGATATCACATAAATAATAACAGCCAACTGCATGGTATTCACTGTTTTCTGTAGCATACGAAAGCATGCAATGCACTTTCCAACCTTAGGAGAAAACACAAGTATGGTCCTCAGCATGATACAGCTGGATAAACAGAAATGAAGTGTGAGATAATAGACACTCTTCTCAGCTGAAAATGTTTCTTTCCTATTCTCTTTTTTCCATGATACATTCCCAGCTTCACTTCCCATATTTTCATTCTACCCCTTCTTACCACCCAGGCATGTTATAGAGTTCTCTGTGTCCCCTGCAAAGTTTCACTGATTCCACCTCCATGACAATAACACATTAATATCATATACCTGAACTCTCTTTTCCACCCTTACCTTAAGTGACTTCAGTCACCTACTTGAGCATTTTGCTATGTATATTATCTTTTTTATTCAGTTCTCCATTGGTGATCTCTTTCCTCTCCCTCACATTTATCTGTGACACACTCTCCTGATGCATTGCATAAGCACAGCACTACTCCTTTTACATTACTTCCAAAAGCACATCCAAAGTGCTTATTAGAGACAGAACATCAGTGACAATCACGTATCTATTTCATGTATTGATTTCTTACTGCAAGATTAGAATGCCAGTTTTAATCAACATGATGGTAAAGACGAAAGTGAGACATTAGGAGATACCAAGAGAACAGACATCTGAAAGAGAACAGCACTGAAGGCAGAAGCGGTAATTACCATATCCAAATAACCTGGATTACACACAGCATCAGTACACAGATCTAGCCCTAGAATAGCTACAGTCTATGAGGTCAGGCAGTATTGCCTTGGAGGGTCGTCTTCAGTTAGTGATACAGTGAAAATATTGGGTAAGAACACATGAAGGAGAAAATCTTATTCTTGAAACAACTTTACCATCTGCAGAAGTAAAGTGGCTTTTTAACAGGTGTACACAAACAGCTGAATTTCCAGAAGACTGCAGGGCAGTCTGGCACATTCATTGTGCCTGTGCAGGACGATACAGAACGACTGTGTCTACAAAGGTGGAGACCTTCAGGGTCCATTGACTGAAAGAAACCCTGTCAATCCCATAACTCAGAGCAGCTCTTCACTTCAATTTCACTTATTAGGATAGGTATTACAAATGAGATCAAATTCTAGCAAGAGATGGAACCTCAGGTTTCCCATAAACAAGACATCAAGCTTCTGCACTTCTGAAATTACTTCTGTTTTTAATCCAAAACAACATTTTGCTGAGCAGAACATTTTGCACATTGTTACAGGAGAGGCGAATGTTCTCATGGGACAGATACAGAGCTAGCATGTAAACACTATTCCATTTTCAACAAGCAAAGAGGGAAAATCCCTTACATCAGAAAGCTAAACTCTCATCAAGCTTCCCAGCACACCACAGCAGGAGCACTAGACAGAAATTGCAGCTTTAAAGAAGCTTTACAGGTTTCTCTCTGGAAAAACAAGCTAGTAGGTTAATTTTGCAAGACCTAAAACACCAGGTATTAACAACGAATGGGAAGGCAACAGTGCTTTGAGTGGATAGAACAGGGACTATTTTTGGATTAAGTGCCAGTTCTTTTCTGTATAAGTGAATCCCTTAAGTCATGTTCAGAGCTTAGAACAAATATGGAAAAACTCAACCTTGCCATCTCCTCAAGATCATAGAATCATCTACATTAGAAAAAGACCATCAGGATCATCAAGCTCAACTGTCAACCTGATGTACCAAGTTTTATCACTAAACATGCCCCTTAGTGTCAATACACACACGTCTCTTAAATATGTCCAGGCTTGGGGACTCCACCACTTCCCCAGACTGTTCCAATGCTTGACCACTTCTTTCATGAAGAAATCCTTCCCAGTGTCCAATTTAAATCTTCCTTGGTGCAACTTGAGACGATTTCCTCATGTTCTACCACCTGTCACCTGAGAAAAGAGGCCAACAACCTCTTCAACGCAGCCTTCTTTCAGGTAGCTGTATATAGCTATGAGGTCTCTGTCTCCTCTTCTCCAGACTAAACAGCCCCAGCTCCCTCCCTCTCCTCATGTCTCGTTTTCTAGTCTCTTCACCAGCTTACACTGCGTACACTCCAACAAATCAATGTCCTTCCTGCAACAAGGGGCCCAAAACTGACCACAGTATTATAGGTGCAGTCTCACCAGCACTGCATAAAGAGGGGCAGTCACTTCCTCTGTTCTGCTGGCCACACTATTTCTGATGCAGGCCAGGCTCCCATCAGCCTTCTTGGCCACCCAGGCATACTGCCAGCTCATATTCAGATGCTACCATCCCCAGGTTTGTATCAATGGTGTATTGTTGCTATGGAAAAGAGGACAAGATCTGAATAAGTATCTGTTGAGACTTCCTCTGATTACAGAAATATCCAAAAAACGACATGGTGGAGCAAGAGAATTCTAACTCCTTTTCTTCCTCTGCTGCATTCTGCTGTCTCTGCTAGAACCAAAGCTGTGTAAAAAGCTTTTGTTGGTGACTCCATCTGCCCTACTTTTGATACTTTCACACAGAGATGCAATACAAGCACTTCCATGACTTTTCACAGAATTTCTTTAAGAGGTCATTGTAAAGAAAGTGCAGAACCTTATGTTACATTTTCTGCCAGGTTTTTAGGGGCTGGGTGATGGGTCTAGCAACAGCCTTGTATCTGAAGCAAGTCTACTGACCTTTATAGACAGTTTTAGAGTCTCCAAAGAACACTTTGTGAAGCCTGAAGAGAAAGAAATCTCTGGAAAATGGGCACAAGCCCAGACCTACTGTCCACACATTTGCATTGGGCCTCAGGCAAAAAGGCAAAGCAGAGGGGTCAGGAAAAAGGGAGGGAAAAGAGCCTTCATTTCAACAGCAATTTACTTGTGTAAACCTCTGCTAAAGAGTTCAGGACTTAACCCACATTATATTCCTTAAATAATACACCTTGGACATATTTAACATTTTCTAACTTTCCATTATCACTTGCCAATTCAATCTGAACTTGCTGAGCTAAATTCTGCCCTGTAACACAGCTTTATGTGATTAATGGAAAATATAAGGGCTACTCTGAAAGTAATGTCTCCTATTTTATTGTGTTGTCCCACAACATCAGAGGAGGATGGTGGTGGTAGCAGTAGAGGCTGAACCTTCCCACCAATATTCCATTCCATGTTGTTGCTGTGTGACAGATGGCAGAAGAAGGACAGTCTGACAAAATGCTGTCTGACATAAAAGTGCATCTGAAGCAAAGGGGTGGAGCTGAATTCCTCCAGGAGGAAAAAATGGCACATTCATCAATGCTAGTAAATGTTGATGTAGACAAAACAGTGGATGTGGGCACAGTGAAGTGATGAGTGGTGCATTTCAGCAGTGGTGACACTGGGTCACATCCACTGGTGCAGGCTTTTGCTGGTGTAGGCTCTTGTTCATTGCTGGCAAAAACGTACAGCTAATGGTTGTGACTGTGTTGAAAAACAGAGTCTCTAGCTGAGAAATTTCTCTATCAAATAGAATTATTGTGTGCTCTGTATCTGTTGTAGTTCCCATGTAAATAAATAGGAGGTATAACTTTCATAGTATGATGTAATAGAAAAAACTATTTCTCAATCAACAGCTAAAATGAACAAAAACATACTCATATTATGAACTAAAGGACTTCAGGTTTGGAAACAGCCACTGGATATAAATACTGTTCCCACTTCTCATGATTTTACTCCTGTGATACTTAATCTTCTATTTACAACTGAACTCTGGAACTCTTATGAGACTCCTAAACTCCACTTAAAAACAAACTTTTCTCCTCTTGGTTGCAGCAAAAGTATTGAGAGGAAAGCCAAGTGGATGATAAAAGGCCAAAATAGAACTTGTTGTTAAAATTGCTTTTCTTTTTACACATCTTTTAAAAAAGAACCTATGACCAGTTTATTGCTTTGGATGGGTGAGCCTTGAGAAAAATTCTAGTTTCAGTTTTCGTGTCACAGCTCTCAAACTAAAAGATGTCTTTCCAGAGCACAGCTTAGAAACACTCCCGCTATCTTTACTAGCCAATAATTTATGCTGCACTTCCACTGAAAGAAATAAATAAATGAATTTCAAATGCTTAAAAGCATTTTCCAAATATTTTAGGCCTTTTGCATATATTTGTCTCAAACACACCTGACTGCATTAATGTAACCAATCAGTCCTCTGTTCCACATGAAGCCCATATGCTCCTCTTTTTTTGTTTTTTTAACAACATGGTATGCAAACAATTTAGAAGTGTAGCAGCAGTAAATATAGTCTTTTTCATTTAAGATTACAGAAACAGACTCCTAAGCAGACTCAGAAGACAGGCTCCAGAAAGCGTATCAAATGCCATTCCTGCCAACTGGCACCAGGCTTGAAAAAGAACAAAAACTTTAACAAATGAAAATGTCTTAAATCAGAGATTAAGGATTATTGACTGTTCAAGATACCTTCCTGCAAAAGAGAAAACTTGATCCTGCTCCGCTTGAATGTAATTGGGGATTTATCCCCTGGCTACACCAGGAGTAGAATCAAGCTCATAATTCTGACATTTCATTCTGAATGAGATACTGTATTATAGAAACATAAGAGTTTCTAACTAACATGTCATTTTTATGATCAATATTATTTTCCCAGCAGAAAACAAATTAATGGCAGCTGAAATAACACAGAGAAAAAAATAAACATTTCTTTAGATGTTCCACCAGTATGTAGGAACCATTGAGTACTTAAAAAGCTGCTTCTGTGTTTCCATAAACATATAGAATCTTTCTCTGTTAAATTCTTGTGCTACAAAAAGAAA